CCCCGAACCACTGGTAGTGATAGAGAATTTGTAATTATGCAGATTAAGCTTCAAAGTATGTCATGATTATAGGTGTTACATTGTGAAAAGCACATTGTTATTGTTGTAAAATGCCATTGAGTCAGTTCTGACTCATAGCAACCCTATATAGGGTTTCCAAGTAGCAACTTGTGGGCTTGAACCACCGACTTTGTGGTTCAAACCAACCTTGCGGTCCAGCACGTTAGGAATTATTCTTTTGGTATTTGAAGACTATTATTTGATTCATCAAAGAAGCACCAGGTATCATTGATAAAAGCAGTGATATTCAGATACATCTTCACTGCTTCACTTTCATCTTATTGGCTAATGCTAGAAAAATATTAACCAAGTTTTATGTCTGAAGTGTACACATTTGTCAGTTGCTCCTATAGCTGGCTACAAATAAGAATTAGGCAAAAAACAAAACACAAACAAGAAAGCACTGTGTGAGAAACAATTGGAATTTATAGTAAAGAATGTTATTTATTTTAGTATGTTTGTGTGAAAGAAGTACTTGTTGTTGTTGTTGTTAGGTGCCATCGAGTTGGTACCAACCCATAGTGACCTTATGCACAGCAGAACAAAACACTGCCCGATCCTGGATCAACCTCACTGCTGTTGCCACGCTTGAGTCTATCGATGCTGCCACTTGGTCAATCCATCTCGTTGGGGGTCTTCCTCTTTTCCTCTGACCCTCAACCTTACCAAACATGATATCTTTCTCCAGCAACTGGTCCCTCCTGACAATATGTCCAAAGTATGAGAAACGAAGTTTGGTCATCTTGCCCTGTAAGGAGCACTCTGGCTGCACTTCTTCCAACATGGATCTATTGGCTCTTTTGGCAGCCCCATGGCATTTTCAATATTCTCCTCCAACACCAAAACTCAAAAGCATCAATTCTTCTATGGTCTTCCTTATTCACTGTCCAGCTTTCGCATGTATATGAGATTATTGAAAATACCATGGCTTGGGTCAGGTGCACCTTAGTCCTCAAGCTGACATCTTTGCTCTTCAACACTTTAAAAAGGTCTTGTGCAGCACATTTGTTTAATGCAATACGTCGTCTGATCTCTTGACTTCTGCTGTTGTGAGTGTTGATAGTTGATCCAAGAAGAATGAAGTCTTTGACAACTAATCATCCTTTATTATCAGTAAAATTTATAAGCATATACATAGATGTGTGAATGCATATTCACATTTAACTCTAACTTTCTGAGATGGTTAAATTTCATTGAGTCAGTTCCAATTCATAGCGACCCTGTACAGGGTTTCTAAGGAGCAGCTAGTGAGTTTGAACCATTGAACTTGTGGTCAAGTGTTTCATCTCACAGTGCCATACCAGGACTCACTCTAAGATCATTGCTGTTGTTGTTAAGTGCAGTCAAGTCAGTTCCAACTCATAGTGACCCTGTATAGGGTTTCCAAGGAGTGGCTGGTGAGCTTGAACTGCTGACCTTGTAATTCAAACTGATCTTGCAGTCTAGTGCATTAACTCTGTTTCCTCATTTATGGCATCTGTTATATAATAAGAACTAGGAACATGATGTTTAGTGGTGTTGAGTCAGTTCTGATTCATTGTGACCCTGTATCAGGTTTTCAAAGAGTGACTGGTGGATTTGAACCATTGGTCTTGTAGTTAGCAGTCTAAGGCTGATCCTACAAAGTTTATCTCACATGAGGAGTATGGTCCTTTAATGAACTGTGTTTTAGTGTTTATAAATATCTCATCCCAACACTGACTACAAGCTTTTGTTTTTAAACCCTGTATATAGGCAACAGTAGTGAGTTTGGCCCAGGATCGGGCAGTGTTTTGTTCTGCTGTGCATAAGGTCACTATGAGTCAGTACTGACTCAATGGCACCCAACAGCAACAACAATAGGCTTGTTTTGAGAACTATTAAAATGTGTAAAACTATTTGCTTCTATAATAAAATTCTCCATCAGTAATACAAAGCTCCATTAATAGTCATATCTCCTCTGCTAACTTAAATCCAGCTTGAATTTCTGACAACTCCTCATGGATGCACTTCTGCAACTACTTTTTAATTACCTTCAACAAAACTTTTCTTGTATGTGATTTTCATGTTGATGATTTCCGCATTTCATTAGGTCTCTTTTTTTTGCTTTGTTTTGAATGTGCTCAAATACAGATCTCATCCATCTGTTGACCATGTAGCTGTCTTCCAAATTTCTTGGTGCTACATCAGGAATATCATTGATGATGTCATATAGATATTGACTAAAAGCAATGCAAGACTTTTGACTGTGTAGATCACGATAAACTATGGATAACATTGCAAAGAATAGGTATAGCAGAATACTTGATTGTGCTTCTGAAGAACCTGTACATAGAACACAGTCATTTGAACAGAACATGGGGATCCTGAATGGTTTTAAATCAGGAAAGATGTGCACCAGGTTTGTAATCATTCACCATACTTATATTGTCTGAATGTTTAACAAATAATCTAAGACGCTGGATTGTATGCAAAAGAATGTGGTATCAGGACAGAGAAATATTCATTAACAACTTCAGATATGCAGATGACACAACTTTGCTTGCTGGAAGGGAAAAGTCTTAAAATTCTTACTGATGATGATCAATGACCACAGCCTTCAGAATGGATTGCACCTCAATACAAAGAAAAGAAAAAATCCTGACCACTGGACCATTAAATAATATCATGACAAATGAAAAAAAGGTTCAGTTTGTCAAAGACTTCTTGGGCCCATAATCAACACTCAGGGAAAGAGCAGTCAGAAAATCAAATGACATATTGTAGTAGGCAAATCTGATGCAAAAGACTTCTTTAAAGTATTCAAGAGCAAAGATTTAAGTTTGACGATGAAGGTGTGCTGGATCCAAGCCAGGGTATTTCCAATAGCCCTTTATGCATGTGAAAGTTGAACAATGAATAAGGAAGGCCATAGAAGAATAGATTACTTTGAATTATGTTGTTGGAGAAGGATACTGCAAGCACCATGGATTTCCAGAAGGACAAGCAACTGTGTCTTAGAAGAAGTACAGTCAATGTGCTTAAAAGTGAGTATGATGAGACTTCATCTTTTTTAGTTTGGGCATGTTTTCAGGATGTCCTTGGATAAGGACGTCATTATTGGCCAAGTGGAGGGTCAAGGGAAAAGAGGAAGACCCCCAGCAAGATGGATTGACACAGTGGCAGCAACATTGGACTGAAACATAACAACAATTGTGAGGATGGAGCAGGACCGGGCAGTGTTTTGTTCTGTTTCGTACAGCATTGTTGTGAGTCGGAAATGACTTGAAGACACCTAATAACAACAATGATAAAATCTGAAGACATTGTTACACACAGCAAGGCCAAGTCATGTCATCAGCCATAATTCCCAGAATGTTCACAAGGAGGAGATATTTAAAATTAGAAATTCATAAGCTTGGACCTGCCTCTGTTTACCAGTGGGGAGATCTTCAGATAATGAACCATGAAAGCCAGCTATGCGATGCACTGTGCAATAATTTTTCATTTGCCACCAGTCAGCTTCAGGGATCAAGGAGAGCTAAACACATAAGCTAGTCATGCATGTTATTTAAAGGCATATTTTAAAGTTATAAGTATGGTACATTGAGTTAATGAGGTATGTTCTTTTGGCGACAAATATTTACATTCCACAAATGCCTCTTGATGTCAAGAGTGTAACTGTTTCATTTTCTTCTTTTTCTCAGGAGGCTGGGATGCAGATGGAAAAGGCCCTTGTGTCTGGGACACATTCACCCATCAGGGAGGAGAGAGAGTTTTCAAGAACCAGACTGGTGATGTAGCTTGTGGCAGCTACACTCTGTGGGAGGAAGATCTGAAATGTATCAAACAGCTTGGATTGACTCATTACCACTTTTCTCTTTCCTGGTCACGTCTGTTACCTGATGGGACGACAGGTTTCATCAACCAGAAAGGCAAGTGTTTCTTAAAAATAGAAGGTTGCAGCTTTAATTCAAGGTTATTGCTTCAGTCTGGCATAATTAATCCAGTGTGCTATTCTGCAGTGTAGCTTGGAAATGGCAAGTTTTTAGAGTGATTACGGGACACATTTTTTGAAATGGGTTTGCATTAGCTTTCTCAATAATATTCTGGCGTCCCTTGTCTGTTGCAATCTTCATGAGGTTGGGTGGGGGATAGATGTGTGGAATGCTGGTAGAGTAAGTGTTTTATTTACATAAAATAGTATTTGAGTGTTAATCTGAAAGTAAATCTCACAAAGTTGTTATACTAAATTATTTTCAGTTATGTAAAGCTCTGATGACTTTTGAAAAGCCCTATAGAACTTAAGAGGATTCTGAATATTTCTGTTGGGAGCTGAATTTGTGGAGCTCACTAGCACAGTGGTTTGAATGAAGGCCCCTGACGTTCACTTACTTGGTATTAAGTACTCAGCTTCTAATCAAAAGGTTGACGGTTCAAATCTACCATAAGGCACCTCAGATGAAAGGTCTGGTTATCTACTTCCAAAAAAGCAGCCATTTAAAAGCCGTATGGAGCAGAAGTCTACTCTGATCTACACGGAGATGCCACATATTGGAGTTGACTTGATGACGGTTGATTTAGTATATTGCTTACTATCTGGGTAAGCATTCCTTAGGCATCTTTAGTGCCTCAATTCCCATGAGTAGAATGGAATATATAATGGTATACTACTTCAGAAGGTTGTTGGAGGAGCAGATGAAATGATCTTTGTAAAGTGCTGGAAATACAATAGGCATTCAATAATAGTGTAGGGGTTACGAATCGGGCAGCAGTTCGAAACTACCAGCTGTTCCGCAGGAGAAAGATGAGGTTTTCTGCTCCCATAAAGATTTACAGCCTTGGAAACCCTGTACAGGGTTGCTATGAGTCGGTTCCGACTCCATGGTACACCACCACCACCAGTACTCTTAAGGAGTTCTGGTAGTGTAATGATTGAATCGGGCTCCTAACCTCCAGGTCAGTAGTTTGAAACTACCAGCTGTTCCACGGGAGAAAGATGAGGCTTCCTGCTCCCGTAAAGATTTACAGCCTTGGAAACCCTGTGCAGGGTCACTATGAGTTGGAACCAACTCCACGACACATAACCACCACCACCAGTATTCCTACTACATTCCTGGTAACTAAAAAACCCACTAACACACTGACTGACTGATATTGACTACATTTCACATACATTTTCTCTAATCCTCATCAGCTGCCAAGAAGGTAGCATTATCAGAATTTTCAGTGGTGCATGTCCAAATCCACATCATTTGATAAATGATGGGTCTGGAATTTAAGCCTGAGATCTGACAAACTACTTTGACACAATGTCGGTTGGCAAACTATGACCTGAGGGCCAAATCTGGCTTGCTATTTGTTTTTATAAATAAAGTTTTATTGGAACACAGTTATGTCCATGTAGTCATGTTATTTAAGGCTCCTTTCCTGTTATAATGGGAGCAATGGGAAGTTGTGACAGAGGTCTATTACCAACACAGCCCAAAATATTTACCAGCTGGTCCCTTCCACAAATACTTGCTGATCCTTTTCTATAAGCATCAAAGAAACAAACATACCAGTCAAAGAGACTCTGACCCTTAGTGAGCCCTTGTGTTACTGAGTAGAACTATGCTTCATAGAGTTTTCAAGGATGTGACCTTTCAGAAGCAGATCCCCAGGCCTTTTTTCCTAGGCACTTCTGGGTGGGTTCAAACCACCAACCTTTCAGTTAGTAGTGGAACATTTAACCATTTGCACCATCCAGGGACTCAACATAATGGTTAATGTTGTTGTGAAGTGCCTTCGAGTCGGTCCCGACCCATAGCGACCCTGTACAGGGTTTCCGAGGGTGTAAATCCTTACGGGAGTAGAAAGCCTCATCTTTCTCCCGCGGAGCAGCTGAATGGTTAATAGGGAAGTTTTATTGCTCCTTTGTCCTGGAAAGAAATTTACACTATTAATAGGGCTGGGAATCGAATGAGATATAAGAGGTGTTCAGGGCAAAATCTTTAAGGAAACACTTACTCTTAAGGTCAACCAAGTGCAGGAAGGTCACATCTAAAAGTGAGGGTGTTTGCTTGTCTCAGCCTAGTCCTCAAGCAAGAGCGTTTGAGTAAACTTTACTTCGGACACGTTATCAGGTGGGACCAGTCCCTGGAGAAGGATATCATGCTTGGTAAAGTGGAGGGTCAGTTGAGAAAGAGACAGACCACCAATGAGATGGTTTTGGCGCAGTGACAGTAGCAATGGGTTCAAGTGTAAGAACAATTATGAAGATAGCGCGAGACTGGGCAATGTTTCATTCTGTTGCACAGAGGGGTCCTATAAGTCGGCACCTAACAACAACAACAAAATATTATTGCCTACTTAATGGGAACAATGAGCATATCCTTCGATATGTATTACATCTCAATGTCAAGAAAACAAAAATCCTCACCACTGGACCAATAAACAACATTCTTATCAATGGAGAAAAGATTGCAGTTGTCAAGGACTTCATTCTTCTTGGATCAACTATCAACACTCACGGAAGCAGCAATCAAGATATCAGATGATGTATTGCATTGGGCAAATCTGCTGCACAGGAGCTTTTTAAAGTATTGAAGAACAGAGATGTCAGCTTGAGGACTAAGGTGCGCCTGACCCAGGCCATGATGTTTTCAATAGCCTCATATAGATGCGAAAGCTGAACAGTGAATAAGGAAGATCGTAGAAGAATTGATGCCTTTGAGTTGTGGTGTTGGAGGAGAATACTGAAAGTGCCACGGACTGCCAAAAGAACCAATAGATCTGTTTTGGAAGAAGTGCAGCCAGAGTGCTCCTTGGAGGTCAAGATGGCTAAGCTTCGTCTCTCATACTTTGGACATATTGTCCGGAGGAAACAGTCGCTGGAGAAGGATGTCATGCTGGGTAAGGTGGAGGGTCAGAGAAAAAGAGGAAGACCCCTAAAAAGATGGATTGGCCAGATGGCATCATTGATGGACTTAAGTGTGGCAGCGGTAGTGAGGTTGGCCCAGGATCGGGCATTGTTTCATTTTGCTGTGCATAGGGTCTCTATGAGTCAGTTCTGACTTGATGGCACCTGACAACAATGAGAACAACCCATGATAACAACTCCTAGGGGGACCTCTCACTTACAATGCCATCCTTTATAAGGTGGGATGTTATGTGTGCAGCTTCACACACAGCATGGGGCCTGAGATTAGCTATCCTGGAAAAAGGACCGCATAAATCAAGGTGAAGTACTTGATTCTAAAGGCATTCGTTTGGGACTAATCCTTGTTGGCTGAACATTGACTTTTTGGCATTCATGGCTAGTGTTAATTTTTTACTTTAAATTGGGCTAAATTGTTGTTCTATTAAAAAGTGAATCCATAATTTCCTACCTCTTTCCTCTAACATCCTGGTGTACTACTATAGACTAAGCACTGAACTATTAACTGCAAGGTCGGCTCTTCAAACCCACCAGCCGCTTCTCAGAAGCCCTATACAGAGTTGCTCTGAGTCGGAACTGACTCTACGGTACTTAAAACAACAACAGTCTAACATTTGTATCATCCCTTCTTTCTGGCACTTCCATATCCTCAGGTCTAACTACAGAGAATAATCTTTGAGCCCTCCCTTCTCTTTGCTTCCTACATTTATTGATTGCCAAATATGGTGGATTCTCCTTATGCCTCTTCCATTTCTTCCTTTGAACCATCTTCTCTGCCCTTGCCCTAGTTGAAATATTCATCACTTTCACCAAGGACTTTTTGATAAACACTTGACAGTTGTGCCTATTTCCTCTCTCTGTCCTACAATCCTTTCAGCAAAATGCTGTCATGGCAATTTTTCTAAACTTTGGCCTAAGTCATTGTTGGTTTGGATTATCTCCTGCTAAAAATAAAGCAATACATATATAAAATGCAGTTGTTCCCAAACCTCAAGAGAGTCCACATTCTTTCATATATCATTTCAGGTTCTTAACTTAGTCTTAACTTGTCTCTGACGCTTAACAGGTTAAAATCCCCCCACGTATATTACCCATGAAAGTCCCCAAATATCTAACCCCAACCTATTCAATACAGTACGAAATATTCTAACTTTGTGGGGACTTGCTTAAGTTTTCCATCTTAGCTGGAATGGTCTTTTAAAAAACCCCAACCATAGATGCTGATGACCAATCCTCATGTCAAGTCCTAATTTAAATACCTTCTTTTTTTTAGTCATTTTCTATTTTTAGCCAGATTAGGAATCGTTCTCTCTTTCCAGAGCATTTCATAACTTTCGTGGTGCTTTACTCATAATATTACTTTAATAATAGTACCTGTTAGATTTGATTCATTTGAGTTATGGTGTTGGAGGAGAATATTGAAAGTGCCATGGACTGCCAAAAGAACCATCAGATCTGTGTTGTAAGAAGTGCAGCCAGAGTGCTCCTTGGAGGCCAGAATGGCCAAACTTTGTTTCTTATACTTTGGACATATTGTCAAGGAGGACCAGATGCTGTAGAAGAATATCATGTTTGGTAAGGTGGAGGGTTGGAGAAAAGGAGGAAGACCCTCAGCGAGATGGATTGGCCAAGTGGCAGCATCAATGGGCTCAAGCGTGGCAATGATATTGAGGTTGGCCCAGGATTGGGCAGTGTTTTGTTCTGCTGTGCATAAGGTCGCTATGAGTTGGTACCAAGTTGATGGCACCTAACAACAATAGATGTGTTTTGGAAGAAGTACAGCCAGAGTGCTCCTTGGAGGCCAGGATGGCTAAGCTTCGTCTCTCCTACTTTGGACATATTGTCAGGAGAGAACAGTCGCTGGAGAAGGATATCATGCTGGGTAAGATGGAGGGTCAGAGAAAAAGAGGAAGACCCTCAATGAGATAGTTCGGCCAGGTGGCATCATTGATGGCGTCAAGTGTGGCAGCGGTAGTGAGGTTGGCCCAGGATCGGATATTGTTTCGTTCTGCTGTG